CTGTTATTTCTGTCATTTTTACAGGGAGTGTCACGCTGATGTCTTTGACAATCAGTGAATCGGTTTTATAATCGCGGTGCACTCCTTATTAGGCTATTAGTCAGCGAAAGTATATTTTGTATTTTGTATATTGGGGCCTAATAAAAAAATTTTATTTGATTTGAATTATATTTTTCATTTTCTCCGAAAGACGTTCATGCAGCTTAAAATATCATCCAAGAAGATCTGGAATATTTAATAGATCTTACTAGGTTACTTAGGTTAATAATGTTTAGCAGCGACACTCGACTTGTACTAAATAACTCGTCTAAACAAATGGCTAAATGTAGACACTGTTTTTACTCGACTTGATTAAATAAACTCTACTAATTTATTTGGCCCGTGTGAACAAAAAACACACTTGACTAAATAAATTTACTCTACTAAACTACTGGCTGCGTCTGAACCAGTCTTTATGTAATGTATACGGCCCTGGTGCCAGTATTCTGTAGTGTTTTAGGGTCATAAATAAATAAATTATAATAATAAAAAGAGAGGATACAGCGCGTTCAAAAAGCCTGCCTGAGACTTATATATGCTGACAAGAACCAATTTCATATAAACTTAAATCTACTAACTGGCTGTCTATGGAAGCACGTAGGCGATTGTATGCGGCGGTTTTGTTTCACAAAATTTTAATATTTAACTGTCCCTCGTATCTAACAAATAAAATCTGATATCGAACAGATGTAAAGATCAAATTAAATAAGAAATATACACAGGCGTCATCACTGAAGGACGGTCCACACTTGCTATATAACACTGCTATATAGCAAAGTTATATAACATACATATTTTTTAGTCATATTTAGCAAATTTCGATGCTATATAACTTGCTAGATGTTATCCATTTGTAGTCCGTAAATATCAAAAGATGTTGTACAACACTGCTATTGTAACATGAAACAGCGCGTCCACACTTGCTAAATTTCTAGTTTAGCCGCTGATATTTTCAGGGACGTGCGCGACAGAATCTTAGTGTGGTGAGTTGATATTGGTTTGTTTATTTACTGGTCAATAATACAGTATGATCGAAAAAAAACTGCGTCCAGTCGGCCTCCCGTCCAGTTGGCTTGGACATGACGATCGATGACATTTCCCATCCCCATATAATTTTCCATATAAAATGACAGCGATCTTCATTTCATAGTATGTATTTGGAAATACATTAATATTAATATTGGGTCTTGGACCTGTTTGGCCTCCTTTAGTCTTAAACATTGTAGATATTGATGATGAGAATAAAACCACTTAAAAAAGAGAAAAAGTTGAGAAAAAAATGCGTTATCTAATAGACCAGTTCCAGAGGGAACCAAAGAAATGCAAATCAGGTACTGCATGGTTTAGGTGAAGTGGATAATTCAAAATGGTTTGCTTTTAAGTTATTAATGTTTTTAAAAGACAGAAACACACCACGAGAAACAGCCGAGCCAAGTATTGAAAAGATAAGCTAATTGAGTTCAACTGTATCTAGATCTTGCTGGTAGGCTATGGCGGACTCAAAACCGCTTTTTCTCGACTTTCTTTCTGTTTGTTCAAAAATAATTAAGCACGCCGCTGCTGCGAGCTGAACCTCTTTTTCGCCAAAATGATTCATGTTTACGAAAACTATAATGTGGACGGCTCCCGGTATTTTAACATGTGATATGTAGCTTGTTAAATAGTAATGTTATATAACATGTTACTAAATGTGGACCCTCCTTGATAGAGTCCGCGATCATTTCTGTCCCACTCATAACAATTCACTTCTGCGTCAATGGCGTGATAGTGACTTTTCACTGCTAATTGATGTAGAAAAGATATCTATAAATAAACTGACAACGTCGCACGAATTTTGCATTATCCACATCATAACTTGCTCTGAAGCCGTCGCGTGAAAATGCATCCCTTAATATTGGGAGCCGCTCTGCGATGTTGCCAAACCTTTACTTAGTAAGTTAAATAAAATGCAAATAATCAATAATACCACCAGTGCTTCCGTTCTGGCCGCCTTGAACCAGTCGATTCGTTGATTGCGTGTTTTTCGTTGCGGTCGAGTGTCTTTTTGTACGGATAGCAGTGTTTTTTAGTCTTACAAACTTATTAAATTATTGTCAATAATGTCCTCAAAAAAGGTTGGGAAACAAGTTGTTATTATACACAGCCAAGGACGCGAAATTATCAATAACGTTAGTTCTTTATTGAAGAAAGAGGCAAAGGAAGGACTTACTATTCCTTTAAAAAATTACAGGTAAATAAATAGTATATTTCATTTAATCTCTAATAAATAGCAAAACATTATTGATGTTCGGTGACTTTACATAGGTTAATATTTTACTTAAATAGAGTATGGTTTTTCAGGGAAAGGACAATGGCTGCTACTGGGGTGTCTTTGTTTACTTATCAAAAGGTGTCAACAGAAGCCCAAAAACTTGCCTGGGAAGGACCAAGCACATCTTTCGTATTGCAGAAGAAAAAAAGGCAAACAAAGAAAAGGAAGCTAGATCTGATGAGATCCAGATAAAATAAAAATCATAAGAGAAATAGTGTACGATTTTTATGTACTGGAGAAACGACTTCCCACATTGAAGTGTATGTGTTACGCACAATACTCGAATTCGGGTAATGCCCGAAAAAAATGCACAGAACTAGTTTTGAGCAAAAAATATTTCCCAAACCCGAAATTGTACATTTAAATGGGTATTGCGTAGGGTTAGTAGTTTGTTTAGGTTTTAAAGGATTCTTATTTTGATTTTGTTGTGGGTGGAAATACGCAATACTTGGTAAAATAAAATATAAAAATGCAAGAAAAAATGGAAGCCGAGTTCGAAATTCAAGTAAGTCGATTGATGATGGCTAAAACACAGAAACATAACCTTATGTCGAAACACCAATACCTAACGATATTGACTGAAGTTAAGATTTGACCTTGAATAAAAAAAAATGCGCAATTGTAATTAATGGAGACTTTTTAGACAGTTTTTTTATGTGTTCCTCATTCCTACCAATTTTAAGCTTTCTGAATTTTTTTTTTTTTTTTAAAAACTCGTATTTTTGAACTTTAACCTTTTACAAGATTAGATTTTACCTTATATTTTTATTTTAACCGGGCTATACCTGTAGATGTATTATATTTCAGGATTGGAAGAAGAGTTGAAAAAAAATATGCAAACATCACTAGGGAAGTTATTAATATATACCTAAAACTGTGTGAAACCTGCCAATTAAAGAAAACTGCCCATAAAAAAGGAATTATTGTTAAGCCTATTTTAAGTAAACTTATGAATTCGCGATGCCAAGTGGATCTAATATATATGCAGACTGAATCCGACGGAGATTTTAAATTCATTTTGAACTATCAAGATCATTTGAAGAAATTCTGTGTATTACGCCCAATGAAAAGTAAAACTGCTGCAGAAATAGCAAGAAACCTGGTAGAAAATTTCTGTTTATTTGGGGCGCCATCCATTCTGAGTTTGCTAATCAAGTAATAAATAATTTAAAGTGTCAGTGGTCCAATTTAAAAATTGTGCATGGGAAGCCGCGTCACTCTCAAAGCCAAGGTTCTGAGGAACGTTGTAATCGAGATGTACGAGATGCTCTTATATGTTGGATGTCGGATGAAAATACTAGGCACTGGGCTAACGGATTATGTTGTCCAATCAAAAAAGAATAGAAGGTACCACAATGCAATTAAGAGATCGCCTTATGTGGCCATGTTTGGGTGTCCCCAAAGAAATGGCCTAGAGGACCCAGAGTTATGACCTGGGTTAAAAATCAATTGAGTACCCCAGAATGAGAAGTAGGTAAAAACCATTTTTTACCAAAAGCGGGTTTTGCCTGATTTCCTTTCATATACACCCAATACAACTCTTAGATCGAGAACTAGACATAACCGCTTAATAGTTTTGCCAAAGGATGGCGCAAATATATATCCGATTCGGCAATTGAGAATGAAAATTAGGTATATCCGGTTTTTACCCAACTGTCATTCTCATATTTTCGTTTATTTACGTTTGACGTTTAATTATGGCGGACAGAGAGAGTGATCCCGAGATAATGAGCGACGATTTAGATAATAGTGATAGTGTTGAAAGTGATACCGAGAGTGATGAAATTATTGAAGAGAACAAAACAAGGAAGAGAAAAAAAATAAAAGTCTCTGGAAAAGTGTTCAGAGGAAACGTAACCTCAAAGCGGACTGGCATACATTTCCACAACCGGAAGAAATGTCCCTGCAAGGCAGGGTTATGAATGTAGCTGCAAAAATCAATGCACAAGTAAAATATCATTCGAAGAAAAAACAAGCATTCTTAGCAAATTCAACGATTTGGCTGTTAAAAATGTGCAAGATTCTTACCTATTTAGCCTAATAACTGTGAAGTCTGTTGCAAGGTAGCTAGATACTTCGGTATTTAATGTTTAAACTATTTAATATGAATAAAATAAATAGGAAAAAAAAACAAAACAAAACAAGGGAAATTTCCAATTTTTTTTTCAGAAGACGACCAGACATTATGAGAAAGCGGCTACGTGAAAAAGGTAATTCGAATGCAAATAATGCTGTGTCCGATGCCGATTTGATTGAAGCATCAAAACGAAACTCATCTTTTCATTACAAGGTAAGAACTTTTAGGAGGTATTGGCCGGCCGATTGTACTATGTTATTAACATAGTTTTTTATGTCGTAGGTAGGTTGTATTAGCATCAGTACGCGAACAAATTGTTTGCAAAAAAGCTTTCGCGGGACTTCATGGCATCAAGTTTGGTAAATTGATCGAATAGGGCTAGCAAAGAAAAATAATTCCACTCCTCCGATTGACAAAAGAGGTTTATCAGAAGGATCTAGGGCACTAAAAAAATCAGAAGACCAAATCCGACAAATTACGTCACATATAAATTCGTTTCCCGTTCGCATCTCTCACTACACCAGAAATAAATCCGGAAGAAAATATCTGTCGCCCGAATTGAGTGTCATGAAAATGCACCAGCTGTATGTTGAAAGGTATGAACCTAAAAAATATATTCAATGGAAAGCTGATAAGACCACAAAGTTTGAAATAAACTATGAATTTTACCTTCACATATTCAACAGTAAATTTAATCTTTCGTTTGGAAAACCTAAAATGGATGTCTGCAATACATGTGACAAATTCAAAAATCAAATAGATGTGGCGGAAAATCCTGAAGAAAAATCTAGATTAAATCGAGAGCACTCTCTACATCTAGCTAAAGCGCAAAAATTTTATGACGATCTGAATCAGTTAAGTAAAAAAGCTAAAACGGACGAAACAGTGGATGTTATCAGCTTCGACTACCAGCAAAACTTGCCAGTACCAGTACTACCGATAGGTGACGTTTTTTATAAAAGGCAGCTATGGGTTTTCAACCAATGTTTTTATTCGGCAAAAACGGGTAATTCCCATATGTACAGGATGGGTCAAATTCGACGCTTTTAAATGGAAACACCCTTTTCTATAGGAGATAGACAAAAACTAATATCGGTATCTGGAGCTCAATTTTTGTTAAAAACATGATAGTGAAAACCGCATATCGATATCTGTTACTGTCTCGGAGTTACGGGGTGTTTTTCAAAAATATGCATTTTTAACAAATCGCTGTAACTTTTTTGCTATGGAAAATTTTGTATTTTTATTAAAACATTTCCAAAGCACCTTTTTACGTAGAATTTAATGGTTTAAGTATAATTTTTTTAAAATTAATAATTTAAGAATTATCAACTGAAAATTTGATTTTTTATACGAGACACCCTGTATATCTTTAATTTATTGAAAATAATTTAAAATTACCTTTCTAAAAATATAACACACTTGATATTTTGCTTGATTCCTCTTCGAGATATAGAGTATACAAAAAGTCGCCCGATTTAATTAAGTAGGCTTTGAATGGCACCGGCTGTAATGCAAAAAAATTCTAGCTGTGAGCATCAATTAAAACGAAAATAATATTTGCTATGAGAGATGCAGAATTTTATAACAATTTAAAATATATTTAACCAACATCAACACATTTAAACTATATCTGATAACAATAAAAATAAATAGCAAACCAAGACATGAGATTTTGCTGCAAGTGTTCGACCGTCTTCTGTTATATCGAGCATCTTCTGTTATGGACAGATGGGGTCGTTTCTGAACATTTCTCGCGGAATTCTTTAACTCAGTGGAGGTGAGAGAATCCCTCTCATAACTGCTAAGTATTTCTAATTCTTGCCTAGATTATACGGAAGAATAAGGAACCTTTATTCTTCCGCAAATATATCCATAGGATTGGATCCATGGGCACTAAGTCAGGTTAGCTATTCAATTATTCTTGAAATTGGCTGCAAAACTTTGCTGATAACTTCAGCGTTCTGAGGCGGTGCCTCTTCTTGCTGGAAAAATATGGTTTCGAGTTCCATTAAGGGCATATCATCAATAAGGGGTCAAAAGCCTACTAGCTAAAAGGTGCGAACTTTTAAAAATTCTGTATTTCGAAGGGGATTATAACAAAATATCAAGTGTGCTATATTTTTGGAAAGGTAATTTTAAATTCTTTTCGGTTAATTAAAAATATAGAGGGTGTCCCAAAATTAAAATAAATTTTTCTGTTGATAACTCTTAAATTATTAATTTAAAAAAAAATATACTTATACCATTAGATTCTATGTAAAAAGGTGCTTTGGAAATGTTTTCATAGAAATGCAAAATTTTCCATAGCAAAAAAGTTACAGCGATTTGTTAAAAATGCACATTTTTGAAAAACACCCCGTAACTCCTAAACGGTAACAGATATTGATGTGCGGTTTTCACCATCATGTTTTTGATGAAAATTGAGCTCCAGACACCGATATTAGTTTTCGTCTATCTGCTATAGAAAAGGGTGTTTCCATTAAAAAGCGTCGAATTTGACCCACCCTGTACATATACAACGAAGTCGAAGGGGAAAAAGGCGCGAATGAGACAGTATCTTTTTTAAAACATTATGTTGACAGTGTTATTAATCCTTCTGTTAAGACGCTGTACATCTTCACGGATAACTGTGTTGGACAGAACAAGAACATGGTTGTTGTTCAGATGTTATCTGCTTTGGTCGCAACTGGAAGGTTTAATATAATATACCACCGATTTCCTGAAAGAGGTCATTCATTCCTTCCTTGTGATCGTAAATTTGCCCTTGAAAAAGAAAAACGCAAGGTTACATACCTTTACTTGCCGGAAGAATGGTACTCAAAAGTAGCAAGAACATCACAGACTTTTTTAGTTGTCAATATTCTTCCAAAAATGATTCGGGACTTTCGTTCATATTTTCAACCTTTTTTTAAAAAAACCATAAAAAACTTTACAATCACAAAATACAAAACTTTTAAATATGAGGAAAAAAAAATCACAGTTTCTGCATGTCACAACATTGATACTCTAAATCGAACATTCATTGCCTTCAAACCAAACGCAGATTTAATTGCGTTAAAGGAATGGACTGTACCCCAGCTCTACATTACGAAACTTCCAGTAAATCCAAAAAAACTTCAAAACCTAAGAGAACTCCTAGACTTCATTCCTCTAGCATATCACGGATTTTATGTTTCTTTGGAAACTCAAGACGGGGGAGAGCAACAGCAGGGGGAAAGTGAAACCGAGGCATCCGACAGCAGTGATGAATGAACAGGAAAAAATTAAAAGTTGTATTTTTGTATGTTTTGCGAATAAAGAATGAAAACTAGGTATATCCATTTTTTCCTGAGAAAATAAAATTTTATACAGTCTGACCACTAAGAACGTTTCAAAACAATTACCACTCAATTCTTAAATAAAAATAATTTAGCAGATCAAATAATGACCAGTTACAATCATTTTTTTGCTCTCCTGTAAAATTATATTTTTGGTTTTTAGCGAGTTATCATTCTCATGTACTCAATTGTTGCCGAATCTACCTGAAAGGTCCGTACTTATTATAGAAAATACAGCCTATCATAATGTACCAATAGAAAAGAATATTACAACTGCTTCCAAAAAAGAATAAATATTAAATTGGCTGAGAAAGCACGAGTTGCCAGCTGACCCAAAACTAACGAAACCTGAACTTTAAGTTAGACGAACATGGGCACTGTGTACTACGTCTTCCTCCGTACCATCCAGAACTAAACCCCATCGAAAAGATTTGGGCGTTAAAGAATTGGGTAGCTGCCCACAATACAACCTTTAAGTTGGCTGATACCGAGGAACTCGCTAGGAAAAAAATTGAGGAGATATCGGAACAAGAGTGGCATAACATTTGCCAACGCGTCAAAAAATATGAAAAAGAGCTGATGCAAAAAGAGCACCTCTTTAACGATTCTCTGGATCATTTAATTTTCACGGTAAATACAGGATCATCGGACGAAACTGAAGACAGCGAGGACGAACTAGGATGCTCCCCTCTTGTTTCTGACAATGATTGATTTTTTTAACTGCAAGCCTAGTTACTTGCATATTTATAATACATTTATGTTATAAAAAAACACGAATATTTTTGTAATTTCACCCTATCTTACTAAAATAAAGCAGATATTATGTAATGTGTTCAGTTTCATAATATAGTTGTAATAAATAATACATAATAAGTTTCAATTTTAATCTTTTGTAATTTATTTTTTAATCTAATAAATGTTTTATTGCAAACTGCTTTGATCCATATAATAAAACTTACGCCACTGGTATATCAATCCAGCGGACTGCCGTGCGACGAAAGCAGAAATATTTTAGAGTGAGACAGAACATAACTAGTCAATGACGCTTGTATATATTTCTTAGTTGATTTGATCTATACACACTCTTAATTTAAGGTTTCGTGGATATATCTCCCCTCCGTCCCATAATACTGTTTTCTTTGAGATATGTTTTTCCCACAATATTTATTCTATTTACAACAATATTCCTAATGATTTAAAAACTTTATCAATAAACATATTTAAATATACACTGCAAAAAATCATCCTGAGTGAACACATATTTCTCAGGGAGTGAATTTTTTGAGTGAAATAATTGAGTATATTTTCATCTAAAATAGCAGATTGCATTGTTTTCATTGCGGTAAACAGACAAGTTCAAACTGGTGCGGATTTCATCGTTTTGGCTGCGACTTATCTGCGTATTTATTCGCACGAAAACTTAGTTCGCATTCAGATACGTTTTCAATTATTATATTCAAGAAATTATACAAGAATAAAAGGGACTTCATTTTCTTTTAATAATGATTGTCAATGTATTTTATTGTTAATTATTAAAACATTATTGTAATGAACTTCATCAGTGTTCCGATTGTTAAATTAAATAAGTTAAATATTTAATTGCCATATTGTAAGAGAGTTTTGATCGGTTTTGGTCGCTATAGATTTAATGCGAGAAAACAAACAGTCCGCGCCGATCGCCCTACTCTGCTAGTGCATGCTAAGTGGAGGGGAGCGCCAGTCGAGTACCTTGGCTGCAGCAGTTCAAAGCCACAGTTTGTGGTCGCATGCGAAACAGTGAAGTTGAGCCCGGAGTGCCCCGCCGAGTAACCAGCTGCCAGCCGCCGATCGCCGCCGTACTGCGCTAGGTAAGCACCAGCCGCCGAAGTGATCGAAGGTAGGTCGTATTCTTGTTATGATTACTAGCGTTACTGTACCACCTAGGCGCGTTTTAGGGATAAGGGAGAGCGGAGATTGCCGACCAGGCGAAAGAGGGAATACGGTGCACTAGAGCAGGTGCCGGGAATGACGTCCCGGTAACTAGACAACATAAGGGTGGCCTGACAACTGCTCCGGTGTGGCGTGTCCTTCCGATGTGTAGATAGGGGTTCTAAATTCGTATAATTAATAGAGGTTGCCGACCAGGCGAAAGAAGGAATACGGTGCACTAGAGCAGGTGAACCTTGAAATATATCGCCGGCACAAGCAGTGTACAACCGTGATGATAGGTGGGACAGTAGACGGGACGGTTGGCATAGGACGGTAGGTAAGACGGTATATAGGACGGTAGGTAGGTAGATAGGTGCGGTTATCAGGAGATACTGTTGGTTAATCGGTGTACGGTAGTATCTCATAATTGTGGCGTTCGTCTCGCCTTAAATAGTACTGAAAAAGGGCTTTCGGGACTTCCAAAAGAGAGTTCGGTTAAACTCGGGCAAGCACCAGCCAGGCTTCTCTGTTAAAAATGAGGCAAATAGTTCTTTTAAATTTACACATTTCTTTATACAAAATCTATTCGCTAAATAAATAAGTATTGCAAATTCCTTTACAGTAAAAATGAAGAAACATCTAATATTATTACTGACAAATAAATTAATTATTCATCCATGGGATATTTTATTAATTAATAACAATTAAGAAATCAGCTTAGTCTAATTAATAATTTCTAACTTCATAGCAATGTAACGATAACTAAAAATATATTATTATCTTACTTACATACAGTATAGCCAATAAACAATGAATTTACATTGATATTGTGGTTTAAAAATAGAATAAACAGTTTTATTTTTATATTAGTAATAAATTATAAATTTACATCAACAGTATTTTAAATATTAAAAATAAAAAAGTACTTTTGCCACGGCCGGGAATTGAACTCAGGTCTCTCGCTTCCTAGCTTAAACCTTAACCATTGCTCCACGGAGACCTGATTGTTGAAAGATTAATAACGGTATATAAACGAAGGAAATAAAAAAATAGAACTTCTTTACACATTAAAAAAAAAAGTTTCTTTGATTTGCCACAACTTTTTGTTGAACTTTTTATTTTAATAAGAAATATAACTAATTTCCTATAATTTGGTAAAAAAATTAATTCTGTAACTTAAAACATAAGAAGATAAGGGGGGGGGGTCAATATACAGGGTGAGTTTCCTACGATGTTCTCTATGGGTATCTCGGAAACTACTGGAGATACAGAGTCGGTTAAATGGGGAAAGAATTGCAGTTTTGTGGGGTCATAAATATGCGCCTTTCAGATTTTTGAAAAAGTTCATGGCTTACTAGATATTTCGAAAAATACAAATTTCGGCTATTTTAAAAATTGTCCCTAATTCCATTATAAGCTATTTTAGACAAAAAGTTTTCAGATAAAAGTTGTAGATAATCACATCCTTAATAAGATTGTATCCTCCGCTTTTTTCTAAAGCCTGTCATTTTTGACATATGATACAAACATATGTTTTTTTAAATGGAAACCATAGTTGGCCATGACTTCATAAAAAGCGCCATTTTTAAGCTTTTTAGCGATATAAACTATAATATGTTTTCTTCGAAAAATTACTGAGTTATAGTCAATTCTTATAATTTTTAAACAATTTCACTTAGTTAGCCATGGAAACAAGTTCAATCGCCGTTGCTCTTAGAAATGTGAAGCTGTCACATCCAAACTTTGTAAATTAAAATAAACAAAAATTGTAAATACGAATTTATCAAATGAAGAAAAGCGTGTAGACACGTGCATCAATAGAGTGTTTCCAACATGACTTTCATTATGACCCCCCCTCATAATGAAAAAAATGTTAAAAATTAATTATATCATAATTATGCAAACTCAGGGATAGGAAGAGGTGGACTAATTGCATGGGCCTGCTCGATCACCTCACCTGTCCATTTTAGATTTTTTTATGCGGTATGGTTAACAATAAGGTTTACAAAAGAACTTATGTATTAAGAGAGGCACTCGAAGTGGCGGTACGAGAGAAGTTAATTAAGTCGACCGGTCCTTCCGTGAGAATAAGTAGTAATTCAGTTTTAAAAAGATACAACTCAAAACAATGGCGGATTTTTTGAACATTTCCTAAAATAACTTAAAGTGTATGCAGTGATTTTATTTTTTTAAGTTTTAGTTAGTGTAATGTAAATTCTAAAGAACCGTTTAGTAATATATTCCGATTTTTTATAAGTTATAAATCATAACAGAATAAGAATACCATGCAATCTAAGTGAAATTAGTCAAAAAAGGTAAGAACTGGCTATAACTAAATTTAACTTTTCTAACAAGTCTTGAAAACTGTTCACTAAAAAACGTAACATTCACCGGTCAACGTATCCTCGAAAATGTATGGTCAAGAAAAGTTGAACCAATAATCTTACACGCTTTTCTTCATTTGAAAAAATCATATTTACAATTTTTGTTTATTTTAATTCACAAAGTTTGGATGTGACAGCTTCACATTTATGAGAGCAAAGACGATTAACTTGTTTACATGGCTCATTAAGTGAAATTATTTAAAAATGATAAAAATTGGCTATAACTCGATAATTTTTCGAAGAAAACATATTATAGCTTATATCGCCGAAAAGCTTAAAAAATGGCGCTTTTTATGAAGTCATAGCCAACTATGGTTTCCATTTAAAAAAACATATGTTTTGACATATGTCAGAAATGACAGGCTTTAGAAAAAAACGGAGGACACAATCTCATTAAGGATGTGATTATCTACAACTTTTATCTGAAAACTTTTTGTCTAAAATAGCTTATAATGGAATTAGGGACAATTTTTAAAATAGCCGAAATTTGTTTTTTTCGAAATATCTAGTAAGCCATGAACTTTTTGAAAACTCTGAAAAGCGCATATTTATGACCCCACAAAACTGCAATTCTTTCCCCATTTAACCGACTCTCTATCTCCAGTAGTTTCCGAGATACCCATAGAGAACATCGTAGGAAACTCACCCTGTATATAAAAAAAAACTGAAAGTGTAATTTGTATTATTTTACTGATTATAAAAAAGCTT